CCGCCACCATCGCATTCACAGCGGGGAGAAGCCCTACGAGTGTGRGGAGTGTGGGAAGAGCTTCACCCAAAGCTCCACGCTGATCCGCCACCAGACCATCCACACTGGGGAGAAGCCCTACGAGTGTGGGGAATGTGGGAAGAGCTTCACCCACAGATCCAGCCTGATCCGCCACCATCGCATTCACACCGGGGAGCGGCCCTACGATTGTGGGGAGTGTGGGAAGAGCTTCAGCCACAGATCCGCCCTGATCCAGCACCAGCGAATCCACAGCGGGGAGAAGCCCTACGAGTGTGGGGAATGTGGGAAGCGCTTCACCCACATCTCCTCCCTTATCCAGCACCAGCGAGTCCACACCGGGGAACGGCCCTACGAGTGTGGGGAGTGTGGGAAGAGGTTTCACACGAGCTCCAGTGCCCTCCTTCACGGGCGCATTCACACCGATGAGAGRCCCTTCCSCTGTCCCRACTGTGGGAAACGCTTCCAGCGCAACGAATACCTCATCACGCACCAGCGAATCCACACCGGGGAGAGACCCTATGAGTGTGGGGAGTGYGGGAAGAGCTTCAGTAGGAGCTCTAACCTGATCCGCCACTACGAGACCCACACGGATGAACAGCCATACGAGTGTGGGRAGTGTGGGAAGCGCTTCAAACGCAGCTCTACCTTAACCAGACACCAACGGACCCACGCACCGGTGAGAGCATCCCCGGAGTGACCCGAGAGTGGGAAGAGCTCCAAGTCCATCCCCCTCCCATGGGAGCCCCGCTGGGCAGAGCCCCGCTGCTCCACGGTCCCTCTCATCCCTGTTGGGAACAACTCTGGCTGGGGACTCCACCACTTCCTGGCCTTGATATTCTTTCTATTTCTCTTTGTACACTCTAAACTCCCAATATCAGATAAAAATAAAGGCTTTACACTAACACATCGATGGTGCCTCGGGGGATCTTCCAGGGGATGTGGGGGATGCTGGGTTTGAGGGACTTGAGAGTTCCCGGGAGGGAATTGGGGGTTGCTGAGGTCTTTGGGGACCCCGGGCCGAGCGGCTCCGGCTGCGCTGGGAGAGCCTGG